ATGCTCATGGCCACTGCCTCCTTGACCTGCTGGGCTCAGGTGATCCTTGGGGCTCAACCTTACAAGTAACTGGAACTACAGGTGTGTGCCACCACACCTGGTGAATTTTTTAAATTTAGTCTAGAGATAGGGTCTTGCCAAGTTGCCCAGGCTGGTCTCAAACCTGGGGCCTCCGGCAATCCTCTCGCCTCTGGCTCCCAAAGTGCTGGGATTATAGGCGTGGGTCACCGTGCCCTAGATCATTCGTTACTGTTCCAGTGCAGTGCTTCCAAAACTTGAATGGGCCCACGGAGCACATGATCTTGTTACAAAGCAGATTCTGATCCACACGCTCTCAGGTTGGGGCCTGAGATCTGCATGGCTCCGAGTTTCTGAAGGCTGCTGAGGCTGCTGGGCCGCAAACCCCACGGAGCCGCGGAGGTCAGTCCCAGACTGTGCCAGAAACTGGCCTCTGCCTTTTTGCCTTTTCAGTTGTTCTGTTGTGCTGTCTCCCAAGCTGCCTTTCCTCTCTTCCAAGCCCATTCTCCCCTCTTCTCCAGAGCAGACAGACTAAGGGAAGGGGGAGACTGAAGCCAGCCCACTTAGCAAATCATTAACCCCCCAGTGGAGAAACTGGGGGAGGTTGGAAGTCAGCATCCCTGTGTTGACACAGACTAGAAACGCCCTCCTGATGGGTTCGCTCCTCATTACCGGAGATAATTGGCTGTGCCCGTTAGCAGAATTAGACGACAGCTAGCAGGCTGCTGGCAAAGAGAACTCGGGGCCTCCACCATGTCGGGGTCATGAGCTTTGGCAAGCACAACCGCAGATTGTTCCGTAGGAAAAACGCCTCTCCGGCCAGGTACAGTGACTCACGCCTGGAATCCCAGCACTTTGGGAGGCCAAGGTGAGAGGATCACTTGAACCAAGGAGTTCAGGACCTGCCCGGGCAACATAGCGAGACCTTCTCTCTACAAAAAGTCAAAAAATGAGTCAGGTGTGGCGGCGCATACCTGGAGTCACAGCTACTTGGGAGGCTGAGGCAGAAGGATCGCCAGAGTCCAGGAAGGCAGGGCCGTGGGGCTGAGATGTGGGATTCGGGTCAGCGGGTAACCACTGGCTGCTCTCCCGACAGCCATGAGATCCAGACCCTGAAAGCCGAGCAGGACGAGCTCACCCTGCTCCTGGATCTTATGAGGTCCTCGAGGAACGAGGACCTGAGCCATAAAAACTACCTGGAGCTGCGCTTCCTGCTGCAGACCAAGGAGGACTACGAGGCCTTGATCAGGTCCACGAAGACTCTGTTGGCCGAGCTGGACGGGAAGGTGCGGTCTCTCTCCTAAGGGGTTCCCCGGGACATGGAGCAGGGGCAGGGGCGGTGGCCTCCCGTGATACCCTGGGCCAGACCCGACCCCCCAGGAGCCCCCAAACCCTGTGCTGTTGTCTCCACCATCCTTGGGACCCGGGAATCGCGGCTCACAGCTCAGTGCTCTCATCCGGCCCTTCGCCTGCTCTCCAGCGGCCCCCCGGGATGAGGAGGGACGGAATAAGGGAGTCTTCCTCGCCTGTGCCGCATAGTTGTCATGGCTTGGCCAGGGGTCTTCCTTCTGGGACCAGGCTGATGGGACAGCCACCATCGTGAACATGAACAGGTGTTGTGGCAGAGAAAAACAGAGTCCAGAAGGGGCCGGGTGGGGCCTCGCGCCTGCAATCCCAGCACTTTGGGAGACTGAGGCGGGAGGATTGCTGGAGCCCAGGGGTTTGAGACCAGCCTGGGACCTCGTGTCTATAATAAACAAATAAATACCAAAAGAATTTTTTAAAAAAGAAAGACAAAGTAAAGGAGAGAGCCGGGCTCGGTGGCTCAACCTGTAATCCCGCATCTTTGGGAGGCTGAGGTGAGAGGAGTGCTGGAGCCCAGGGGTTTGAGACCAGCCTGGGACCTCGTGTCTATAATAAACAAATAAATACCAAAAGAATTTTTTAAAAAAGAATAAAGAAAAAAATAAACAGAGACTCATAAACAGTAAAAAAAAAAAAAAAAAGAAAAGGAGAGTTCTGGAGGGTCTCACATTGGTAATGGAATGCTTCAGCCTGGAAGTGACATGTCACTTCTGCTCATGACCCAGAGGCTCAAAAGTCATGTGATCCTACCCAGCCGCGAAGGGGTCCAGGAAGTGCCACCCTCCCTTGCCTCTGGAAGCCAAAGAGCTGGAGACGTTAGTGGGGCAGTGTTAACAACCATGCCCCTTCCAATGGCTTGAAAGGCCCCTGTGATGTAGTTCCTGCTTACCCCTCTGACTCATCTCAGGGCATTTGCCCAGGCTCCAGGCCCCTCCCCACCGCCAGCTTGTCCTTCAAATCTCAACCTAAGTGTGACTTCTTCAGGGAGGCCTTTTCTGTGTCTTTGCTCCAGTTTATACCTGCCTGTCTTGGTCGGGTTTCTGGCCAGGAATGAACAGCCCCCTCAGTGGGTACTTGGAGAAAGTTTCAAGAAGGAACTGTTTAAGAGGGTGCGGGCAGCCAGGCCCGGTGGCTCAAGCCTGTCTTTGCAGCACTTTGGGAGGCCAAGGCGAGAGGATTGCCTGAGCCCTGGGGTTCGAGACCAGCCTGGGCAACTTGGCAAGACCTTGTCTCTACAATAAATCAAAAATTAGCGAGGTGTGGTAGTGCGGGCCTGTAGTTCCATCTACTTAGAAGGCTGAGGCGGAAGGATCACCTGAGCTCAGCAGGTCGAGGCTGCGGTGGCCGGGAGCATACTAATGCAGTCCAGCCTGGGTGACAGAGTGAGACTCCAACTAAAAAAAAAAAAAAACAAACAGAGCATACAGGCATGAGTAGGGATGTTGAAACCCTGTAAGGTCAGCAACTGTGGGTGAGGGGGCAGCGCCTGGAACCTGGAGAGAAGCGAGCCAGCCAGAAGAAGCAGACACCCGAATTCTCCCTCTCCTGACATTCCAGTCCTCAACTCAAGGGATCCCTCAGGGGATCCAGCCGGGCTGGCCACCAAGGCACGAGCAGGGAGGAGAGAGGCCCTCGGAGAGCCTGCCATGCCCCCTTGTCCCCACCTGTGGCACCCACAGCCCTGCGTGGCTCTCCCCACAGCTGTCACAGTACCTTCATGGGGTGTCGCCCAGCTCCGCGGGGCAGGGACCCCCATGCCCATGCGAACCGTCTTCACCCCTTTCACCCCAGGGTGGCAGGTCCCTGAGTTCCCTCTTCCCGATCCCCAGGCCCTGCCTGGCATCCCCACAAAGCTAATTCGATGGGAAGCTGGCGTGCTGCTCAGGCCTAATTACTCTCTGCATCACAAAAGCAGCATCTGACATAGAGACCCTTGGGAGATGCACTCGGAAGTTAATCACTGAGCCGCCAGCTAGCTGAGCCACAGCCTTCTTTGACTAGAAATTTGAGGACTCTGGGGATCAACTCCAGAGGACGGGCGAGCCTTAGAGCAGGCCATGGCGGGTGCTGGAGATGCCAGAGTCATTTCCCTCATAGGCAAGTCAGCAAGGAGTTGTGTGTCCACAAAACAGGACAGAAAAACAGGAGAGCAGGCGCTGGTGCGACTGTAGGTCAGGGCTGGGAAAGCTGTTAGTTTTTTTTTTTTTTTCCTGAATCAGGGTCTCACTCTGTCCCCCCGGCTGGAGTGCAGGGACATGGTCACTGCTCACCGCAGCCTTAACCTCCTGGGCCCAGGTGATCCTCCTGCCTCAGCCTCCTGAGTAGCTGGGACTACAGGTGCACACCACTACGCTTGGCTAATTTTTAAAAACATTTTGTAAGCCGGGCTCGGTGGCTCAGCCTGTAATCCCGCGCCTTTGGGAGGCTGAGGTGAGTGGATTGCCTGAGCCCGCGGGTTCGAGACCTGCCTGGGCAACTTGGTGAGACCTCATCTCTACAATAAATCAAAATGAGCCGGGCATGGTAGCGCGCACCTGTAGTTCCAGCTGCTCGGAAGGCTGAGGCGGAAGGATCGCCGGAGCCCAGCGGGTCGAGGCTGCGGTGGCTGGGAAAGGCCACTGCACTCCAGTCTGGGTGACAGAGTGAGACTCCAACTAAAAAAAAAAGCTTTTCTGAGCCAGGCAAGTTGAACCTGTAATTCCTAAGACCACGATGGGAGGATCCCTTGAGCCCAGGAGTTCCAGGCCAACTGGGCAAGATAGTGAGATCCCATCTCAAAAAAAGAAAAGGAAAAGTTCTTCCATTTTGGCTTAGAGCAAAGATGTTTTATCCTCTGGGACTGGGATGGAGTCCGCCTCCCCTGATAGACTCCTGGCAATGAGAAAATGTTTTATCTCATAGACAGGCAGCAGCACATGGGTGGGGCACACTTCAGGGTGGGTGGATTCAGCTCATTTGTGCTGTATCTGTGTCAGGGCTTTGTCTTTTGGCTGAGGGAAGGATAAGATGGCGCAGCCATTCCAGGGAGCACGTCCAGACAGGACCATAGTTAGGAGAGGACACCCGGACTCTTCCTGTGACTCTCAGAATGAGGAAACATTTTCCAGAAGCTTCCGTACCAGACATCCCAATGCAGAGGCCCCATCAGGCTTAGTCCTGCTCCTTCCCGAATAAATTCATCATAAACAGGGGGACAGAGTCACCAGGCTGCCTGGGCTCAGTCTTCTGGGATGGGATAGGTGTGGGGCGTCACCACCCTGTGTCCACTGCGGTCCTGGTTGTCACCTCTGCCACCTGCCTGGCTCGGGGCCACTCTTCTGTTTCCACTTGGCACCTCTGGCTGCCTGAAAAGCACCTTTCAGCAGGCTCCTGTGATTCCTCCATGACCCTAAACACGGGTGTAGCCCAAGGGTCTCCAACCGTGGCCCTCAGAATGGATTAAGCCTGATGACCTGAAGGCTGTGGCCCATTCATTGTTAACGTGTAATTAGTTGACAATATGTAACAACTTGGGAGCTTGCAAAAGTGGAGACTTCTGGCTTCTCTCTCTCTCTTTCTTTCTTTTTTTTTTGAGAGGGGGGTTTCACTTTGTGGCCCAGACTAGAGTGCAGTGGCATGATCATAGCTCATTTCAGCCTCAAACTCCTGTGCTCAAGTGAGCCTCCTGCCTCAGTCTCCCAAGTAGCTGGGACTACAGGCACACGCCACCACACCCAGCCAATTTAAAAAAAAATTTTTATTGATTTATTTTTTGAGTTGAAGTCTCACTCTGTCGCCCAGACTGGAGTTCAGTGGCCGCTCCCGGCC